GGGGCGCGCGCGCCCGCCGCACTGACGCCGGGCCTGCGCCTCCGCAGCGAATGCGGCGCGCTGGGGCACGGAACCTGGACCTTCCGCGGCTGCCGCCTCTGCAGGTGTGTCTTTGCGGCCCTGCACTGCCTCCCGCTGCAGACACCCGGCCGCTGTGGTAAGAAGACCCGCGTCCTGTGCCTACAACCCACACACAGGGGCAGCTGCTCCTTCCTACCCAGAGATCCATAGCGATCTCCCTGTGCCAGACGATCCAGGCATGGGCAACCTGGGTCGATTCATGACTCGGGAAAGTCGTCGTGAATCACTCAGTGTATTACCATTACTGTCATTTAAAAATTTATTCCTAAGCGTCCCGTATCCCAATTGCCGAGTGTATACGTGATGTCCAAACAGTGTCCTTAAGTGTCCTTTACAGAGAGCAGAATTCGGGGATCGCGCAAGCTGGTAAGCAGAGTCGCGCCTGGCAGACAGGTATTTCTCTACACTAAGCCAACACCACCTTCTCACCTGTGAAATGCAGAGGGCACGCTAGAGCAGGACGGGAGCAGTCCTGCATGGCCAGGTGCTGCCCTTCAAGGCCAACCCGTCAGTGCTCCCAGGGAAGCAAGGTGCCTGGTAACCACAGCTCAGACCTGCCACATAAAAGCCAGTGGGGTGTGGAGAACACGCAGGGTGAACATGCATTTATGAAGATTCTGAGCAGTTCCCAACTCAATGCAAATGTTTTGCTTGTAAAACTAAGTAAGGAACATGAACTTCCGAGGTCAGAAAACAAACAAAATGCTCTGCTGCTGAGCCATCGTCTTGGGCAGGGACCAGGGACACAAGTAAAGAAGGCACTGCATTTCCATCGCCCTCTCGCCTTTTCAGTAAGCTCTGGCTGGGATAGCAGTGAGGGGCTCAGTTAATGCAGGCACAGCCCTTCAGCCCTCTTTGTAGCCCTGGGTGTGCTCCATGTGAAGACCTTAGGCCCACTCTCCTGTTCCTCCCTGCACTACAGTCAACCCTGGGCAAATCCCACTATCTAAGGGCACGCATAGTGGTAGCACAAACTTTCATCCCCGCTTCACACCCCCTTGTCCACTGTCAGGACTGCAGGAGAGGGGCAGCACTCTTGGCGGAGGAGCCCTCTTGGTGGTGTTCCCTGGGTGGGGCCCCTAGTGGAGGAACATAATGAATGCTCAGCCTCCCTCCTCTGCAACCTGGATTAGCAGTCTAGTGACACTCTTAGTGAAGGTGCAGCCCTTCAAGCCCACGGCTGCTCCCCCTTCTCAGCCAGCTCCGCCTGGTACACGCAGTATCTGTGGGGGGGAGTGTGATTATAGTACAATATCCTTTCCCTCCCTCCCTCTCCTACTGGGCTCTCTGTTTGCTGGGCCTGTGCCCCTGTTTCACTAGCTGTTCTTTCAGCGCCCCAGAGAATGGAGGACAAAATTATGGAATAAGCATCAGAATTGCAGATGGTGCCTATGTAGTCCTACAGGTGAAGTCATTCCCCACTTGTCATTGGTGCCCCCAGCAGTGATGTGGGGAAAGGGCTAGCTGTGATCATTTCCAATCTTCTAAGCAAGGCCAGCTTGGGTTCAGAAGCAACAGAGCAGGAACTGGGTTCTAGGATGTCTGCTCACATCCTGGGAAACATCCAAGACTGGGACTGCTGTCTGCTAAAGACAGTGACAGCGATTCTGAAAATGTGGCTTCTGCTCATCAAAGTTGAACAAAATAGTGCAGTCATCTTTCAGAGTAATTTGTCAGGTGCAGAAAGGGCAGTTACCTTTTGTACTCTTTGACCCATTGATTCTGCTTCAGGGCAGGTGACAGTGGTGGTGGCTGTGTTGACAGTGGTTATGATGACATGAGGATGATGATGATAACGATAGCAGCTGCGCTGATAGATGGTTATGATGATATGAGAATGGCAATCATCATGATGATAACTGTCTTTATTAGCTCTCAGAATATTTCAGGGACTTTGAGGAAACTGAAGCTTAGAGCGGTTAACTCCTATAGTTGGTCTTTGCTTTTTTTTCCTTAAGAGATAATCACAGAGGTTAGTTGTTAATTTAGAAACAATATGGTATTTTACAATAACATTTAAATTATTTTAAAATATAAATTAACATACCATGGCATATTGATATAAACATTGGCATAATGATAATTAATATGTAATTAATATTAATCTGTGAATAAAATTGCTACTGTTCACAGAGTACATAAGCACATCCCTAAACTATGTCAAACACTTTTTTAAAAAATTGAGATATAATTGCCATGTAACGTTATATTAGTTAAAGGTATACAACACAGTGATTTGATATTTGTATACATTGAGATCTGATAATCACAGCAAATCTAGTTAACCTCCATCACCACACACAGTAATAATATTTTTTCTTGTGATGAGAACTTTTAAGGTCTACTCTCTTAGTAACTTTCAAATATGCAATACAGTGTTATTAACTATAGTCACCATGTCGTACATTACATCCCCATGACTTATTTATTTTATAACTGAAGGTTTGTACATTTTGACCCCCTTTACCCATTCGCTCCCCACCTTTGGCAATCACCAATCTGAGTTTGGTTTCTTTCTTTTCTTTTCTTTCTTTCTTTTTTGATTTTTAGATTTTACAAGAAAGTGAAATCAGAGGTATTTGTCTTTTTTGTCTGACTTATTTTGCTTAGCATAATGCCTTCAAGGTCCATCTATGTTGTTGCAAATGGCAAGATTTCCTTTTTTTAATGGCTGAATAATATTCTGTTTTATATACATATATGTATATAGCTCACATTTTCTTTATCTATTCATTCATCAATGGACACTACGGTGCTTCCATGTCTTTTGTTCCATAGCTATTGTAAATAACGTGCAATGAACACAGAGATGCAGATATCTTCTAAAGGTAGTGTTTTCATTTCCTTTGCACAGATACGCAGAAACAGAATTTCTGGATCATATGGTAGTTCTATTTTTAATTTTTTGAGGAACTTCCATACTGTTTTCCATAGTGGCTGCACAAATTTACATTCCCACCAAAAGTGCACAAGCGTTCAGGGTCTGATTCTTAACCACTTTACCATTCCAGACTCTTCCTATAATTATCAGTATAAATTAAAGATGATATTGTTTTGGAGTGTTTTTTTTTTTACACTAAAATTTTATTATGGATATAACCAGAACTTTTATTGGCAAAATCACATTTTTTATTGAATTTTTCTCTGAGCCACTGAGTAGATTTGCCCTAAATATATCTTTTTTTAATTGAATGAAAGATTCTTTAAATTCTATAGTGCTTTATGATTTTCAGAAGTTTCACACACATGATTTCATATAATCCCATAATAACCCTTTTATTTTCCCTATGCCTATATTGCCCCTCCCCACTTTCTTCTCCCCTCTGGTAACCACTAGTTTGTTCTCTATATCTGTGAGTCTGCTTCTTTTTTGTTTTATTCAATAGTTTGTTGTGTTTTTTAGATTCTGCATATAAATAATACCATACAGTATTTGTCTTTCTCTATCTGACATTTCACTAGGCATAATACCCTCCAAGTCCATTCATGTTGCTGAAATGGCAAAATTTCATTCTTTTTACAGCTGAGTAGTATTCCTGTGTGTGTGTGTGTGTGTGTGTGTGTGTGTGTGTGTGTGTGTGTGTATCACATCTTCTTTATCCATTCATCTGTTGGTGGACACTTAGGTTGCTTCCATGCTTTGGCAGTTGTAAATAATGCTGCTATGAACATTGGAGTGCATGTATCTTTTTGAATTAGTGTTTTTGTTTTTTTTTGGTTGTACACCCAGGAGTGGAATTGCTGGGTCATATGGTAATTCTAGTTTTAGTTTTTTGAAAAACCTCCATACTGTTTTCAACATTGGCTACACCAATTTATATTCCCACCAACAGTGTACAAAGGTTCCCTTTTCTCCACATTCTCAGCATTTGTTCTTTGTGTTCTTTTTGGTGATAACCATTCTGATAGTTGTGAGATGATATATCGTTGTGGTTTGGATTTGCGTTTCCCTGATGATTAGCAATGTTGACCAATTTTTCATGTGCCTGTTGGCCATCTGCATTTCCTCTTTGGAAAAATGTCTACTCAGTTCTTCGGCCCATTTTCTTAAATCTGGTTTTTTGTTTTGTTTTGTTTTTAATTTGAGTTGTATGAGCTGTTTATATATGTTGGATATTAACCCCTTATAGCTCATATCATTTGCAAATATTTTCTCCCATTCAGTAGTTGCCTTTTTGTCAGTGGTTTTCTTTTCTGTGCAAAAGCTTTTAAGTTTAATTAGGTCCCATTTGTTTATTTTTGCTTTTACTTCCTTTGCTTTAGGAGACAAATCCAAAAGAATACTGCTGTGATTTATGTCAAACAATGTTCTGCCTGTGTTTTCCTCTAGGAGTTTAATTGTATCCATGCTTACGATGTAGGTCTTTAATCCATTTTGAGTTTATTTTTGTGTTTGGTGTTAGGGAGTGTTCTAATTTCATTCTTTTACATGTAGCTGTCCAATTTTCCTAGCACCACTTATTGAAGAGACTGTCTTTTCTCCAATGTATAATCTTGTCTCCTTTGTCATAGATTAATTGACCATAAATGTGTTGGTTTATTTCTGGGCTTTTAAGAATATTTTTGATAGTGTTATTTAGAATATTGAAAATTTGACCATGTTGTAAATCCAACAGCAGAATAATAGGTAAGTAAATGTTTTAACTCCTTTAATGGAAGATTATGATGACTTTGAAGAGTATATGGAAGATAGAATGGAAAACTGTATTTACAATATGTTTCTACTGTGAAAGGACACATATGGATGGGGGATCACAAATAGATAACAACATGCTACAAAACTGTGGTCCTCTGGCTCCTCCAGGGACCCAAAGGACAAAGGATCTCCAAGGGCTCTTCCTGCTCTGATACTCCATGGGTCCAAGTTTGACAGTCTTTCTTAGTCCCAATATAATATCTTTTCAAGGGCAGGATAACCTGCCCTGTGAGGGTGCAGGGCAGGATAAAATTTATGCAAAATAATCTTGTTTGTTGGTGTGAGCTATTTTGTAATTTTTTTCTGTTCCATGACCTAAAATAATGCTTTGTGCATAATAATTCTAAATAAATATTGAATGGATGACCTTTGACCTTTTAGTTCCAAATATAGTGCCAAAGAAGAAACACCGTATAAGCTATTACCTACTATTATATTACATTAAAACAATCAATTTTCAGTGCTCTAAATACAATATGCTTAAGACAGGTTAACTATCATTCTACCATTTTCTTCATTTACATTTGTTAATTTTGCATGTGAAGAGGCAATGTGGCATATAAAAAAAGCACGGGAAATCCCCAAATTACTTGTTCAAACCCCCCAAAATACTTGTTGTAATGTTCATGATCTTTATGAAAGGTTAAATAACTGTGCTTCAGTCTCCACAGCAGCAATATTTACCCCATTGGTTTGTTAAGATGAAAAGGCCCTATACCTGTTTCATATTATACATAAAGTAAAATATTGTTACTTTATTATCATCACCATCAACCGTATTCACATCAATACAATGAGGTTAGAAAAAATGACTTCATAATCTAGCACTTATAGGCAAATTTACTGAAATGTGGTTTTTAGGTTGTGAACAATACCCACTATACCATTAACTGATGGGCACTGTTATAATTAGAGTTAAACAAAAAAATCAAGAAGAATGACAACCTTGGAGCTAGCAGTCCTTGATTCAGCCCAAGATCTCATTTTACCAAGAGGGTGATTCTTCCTACACACAGCCCAAAGAATTAAGTATTTCTTTAGTATCAAGAACCATTATGTTCTAAAATTTAGAGTCTAAATAATGACACAGTAAAGTAGCAAATTTGAATGTCTTCAGAGATAAACAGGTCATGTAAATGTCAGATGGGGGTCAGGTCAAGCCTCACCTTCAAACCCAATTAAAAAAAAATACAGTTCTGGCACAAAGCAGTCAGCCAACCAACCAACAAGCAAACGAACAGAGCCAGCCTGTGGGCCTATTGGAAGGATGGCCCTCCTAGGTCCTGGCCCCAGCTGGCTCTCAGCAGTGGGTGTGCTGCCCAGGAGAGAGCAGGCCCTTTGTCAGATCCCTCTGGGACATTCTCCCATGATAGGTGCCGTTTCAGTGGGGGAGCTTCTCTGGGTGTCATCACAGGGAGGAAACCATCTGGCTCTCCAGGGGCATTCAGGGGTATCTTCAAATTGGAAAGTTTGGGGAATGCTGGCTCTGGACCTCATATTGAAACAAGATATTATCCTCATCCAGGTGGCCTCCATTTAAATCCCCACTCAGTGGTGGTGACACAGTGACACATGCTGAGCATTCACAAATTTGATTTCACTTATGTCTTCCTTTACATACATGCCTAAGACTAACATAATGATAAAAATCTCTGCTGTGTCTGCGTAAGTCTAAAAAGAGACCTTTTGATAAGTGTATAATTAAAATCCCAGGTTATAGTAAATCATCCATCGGTAGCAGAGTTTCCTTTCTGGTATGACATAAAATAATGACAAGCCATAGAACCATTGATTTCATAGATTCTAATAAACAGTAAATATTAATAAAGCTTATTTTAATTTTTTCCTATCAGTATATAGTGGAAGTTCTAATATTTTCTCGCTAAGCTCAATGGGTGACCTTGGGCCCCCTGGGAGGGACACTGCATGGTGCTCACAGCCCCAGTTTGGGGACCCCTGCTTGAGGGACAGACGCCGTCTAACCAAATTCACAAAGCTGACTATAACAGTGGCCTTTGAGTTCATATACAAGAAAAGACTGCCAACAGGGCCTGAATCCTTCTCTCTGTGGGCAGCCTCTTCCCTTCCACCAGGGGAAAATCAGTGAAGCTCAGTACAGGCTGACACCTTCTTTACCTGTAGCTGATTCTCACGCTGGGACCACCTGTTGTATCATCAGCTTTTCTGGAACCTCCTCTGAGCCCACATGCTAAGGTTCCTGTTTTGTGGGGTTCTAGTACCCTGGAACAACCCTCTCCCATGTGGGGTGGTGTGGGGAATGGTGCCCAGGTCTGGAGTGGGCCTGACCTCGGTCTTGTGCTGAGCGTGGCCTCCTGGACACGCCCACTGTAGTCACCTACGGACAGATGCAGGGCAGGTCCCTGCCGTGGTGGCTCGTCTTCATCATTACTCATTAGTTTCTGACGGTTCATGCTCACCCCAGGTTTTCACGTTCAGAAGGCACTTTCTGGAGGAATCCTGGAGGATAGCGCTTGGCGGGTTTGTCGGGGGAAGAGAAGGCTGGCCTCTGCCAATCAGCCCTGGGGAAAAGGTCCCTTTAAGTTGGCCCTTTCCTCATCGGCATGCTTCCCTGCCCAGCTGACCCCACATCCAGCCCAGACTTGCTTGTGAGAATGCTTAGTGGAGTTGGTGCCCCTGCCTGCGGCCATGCCTGTGGGGCTTGTCAGCTTCACAGGGTAGCCACTCACCACCGGCAACTTTGGCCGAGACCCTTGCCCTGCCTCACTACCCCAGAGATTCCCATTCAACACCTTTGGGCTGGGGTCCTAGCTATATAGAAAGCCAGATGCACGGAGCCTTGGGGCTCAGAGTGAGACCTGCAGTGGAGGAGCCACACTGCCTCAGCAGGGTGGTGAGCACTGCGGGTGGGGCATCATCCCCAGTGCTCTGCAGCTGCGCCTTGTTGTAACTTCCTCTGTGGGGATATCCGCCGTTGCTGTAGGGATGGGTGCTTTCCTCTTCAATAAGTGGTCCCTAGTCAGAGAAATAAAGTCAGAGCTAATGGGGGAAAAGTTGGACCTTCTTTGCAACAGATGGGTGCAAGCTATTTTATGTTATTTTATTTTAAATCAGATCCACTTACCTGCATTGCTAAATGACGGGTGTGGAACTCTGAACGATCACCTTGGCCAGCTCATGTGCCAGATGAGAAGGGCTCAAGGGCTGTTTCTCTGTGAGCCTTAAAAACAGCAAACTGATTCTCCTTCAGCTCTCCAGGTTACACAAAAATTCCTCTGTTTCTAGCTGCAGCGCGAGGAAGGTACAAGCTAAAGGGAAGCACGTCTTCCTGGAGCTGCGCCGCGTTCCCCACATTGGGCTTCATTCTGCGCTCCGCGCTGTCCTCCTCGTGGCCGGGAAGCCGCGGCTCGGGCTCCGCGGCTGATGCAGAGCCCGCCGGGCAAGGCCTAGAGAGGAGGCCCAGCGAGAAAAGGGCTTTATCGGAGCAGGTGCAGACATCTCTGCTTCACTCTCTTAAAGCAAGCCTGCCACAGCATGTCTCATACACTCTCGGGATTTTTTTCCAGACCTGAAAGACTTTCTCGCCTCACACTCTAATGGACCAAGAACGCAGCTCACGGGGAATGTTCTCCTCCTCCTGCCCTGCTTCCTCCTGAAATCCGTCCTCAGCGAAGGGGGAGGCCGCTGACGGGACCGCAGTTCCACCCGGCGGAACCTGAACCGCGCCTGGCCTCCCAGCGTGGCCAAGCGAGGCGGCGCTGCGTGGGGAAGAAGGGCTTGCTTCTCCTTTTGTATTGTCTATGTTGTAGGTAATAGAGTGGTTTCATTTCTTATCAAGTGGAGCATTAGATGCATATTTGTATTGTTTAATAAACATTTGCATGAAAGAGCCTTTCTTGCTTTCCTGGGTATATGATTTAGAAGCGCAGGAGTAGACGCTAGAGGCTGGGGCCCCTCCAGCCCGATCTCTGATGATTTCAGAGTAGACCAAACATGTGGCCCCTCCCAGATAACAGCTCCCCCGTTGAGCACTCCTTGAGCCCCACACATAGCTGCGGCAACACTTCACATCAGTTATTTGTTCATTCAGTCTCCCCACTAGCTGCTAAGTCCTGGGGGGGCAGGGACGGTGCTACATGTGTGTCCCCAGCACTGCTATGCTGTGAGTCTGCCAAGAAGATGCCTAAAAATGCTCCATAGACAGAGAAAGGAAGCCAAAAACGGGGAGGGAGCCAGGCCTGGAGGCAAGCGGCTGGGCACCCCATCTCCTTTTCTCCAGTTTCCTCTACTAATGGCTCAGTTGTGACACCCTTTTCGGGACAATTAACACTTCTTGGGATTATCACCAACATCTCTGTAAAAAGGAGCCCTTAAAGTGGACCAAGGAGCCTGTCTTCCCGCCAATCACACAGTACTTGGGAGCCTGGCGTTTCTCAGCTGGATCTGTCAAATATATTAGCTCTCTATTGATTAAACACAGCCCTGTTTGGACAGATACCATAACTAGAAATCAGAAGAGTGAAAACAAGAAGAATATTGTAAATTATTCAGGCAAACTAATCAATAAGAATAAAATATGAGAGAGACAAGGACTCTGGGATAGACATCACAGCCTGAGTTAAATTAATTGGTCAAAATATTGATATTTTATAAACCTTATAGAATTTCCTTTAAAATATTCAAAGCTGAATTCAATGGGAAGGCCATCACGGATTTATTGTGCATGTGATATAAAGCTACATATACTGGGGTGCTATTGTGGGCCAAAAAGTGTCTTTCAATCAGCATTGAAACCTCCCTGCCCGGACAGGGTGGTCCCAGTGCATGATATATACAGGTGAATAGAGAGTTCTCAGTGTAAGCCCTGAAATGGGAAATCTGCTGAACTAAATGGGGTGCTACTTTACAGCTCTACAGAGTGAGCGTGAGCTCACACACACACACACACACACACACACACACACACACCAATGCTGCAAATATCTTCTGAAGCCCACCATAAGCTGGGGTTGGTGGCTCCGCCCTTCAAGCTTGAGTGGGAGAGAGAAGGGAAAAAATGCAAAGGTCAGTGACTACAGAAGTCCCCCAGGACGCTGGGGGCCACGGGAGCCAGGCAGGCTGAGAAAGGCCCCCTGCACATAAAGCTGCACACTCTAGAATGTTCACTTTGAATGCACTAAAATAGGTGACATTTCCATTGAGTTTTTCAGCTTTTTAAACCTCCTTTAGTTCATAAGCCTATGTAATACAGTTATTTTTAAAATCTATATTGTAAATTAGTTTATTGGCATTTTCACACTTTTCCACCATTGGCTATGAAAATATGAATTTGATGTAATATTCAAATAAGAGTTAAAGAAAAAGAAGGTAGAATTCAGTAAAGGGTTGACTGGGACTCTGGTTCAGGAGAAAATAATTATTAAAGTTTTGAAACATAAATATTTCTAGGTAATAATGACTTCTGATAGCAAAGTGGTCTTTACATGGTTTCAAGTACATTCTGAGCAGTACCATCTGTTGCAGCTTAATTTTATGGAAACAAACAAGTGATGAACTTTGCAAATTTAACCTAAGAACCTGATGAATATGTTTATATTATGTGTACAATGTTTATAAAATGTGCATCTTCTACACTTTTATACCAATATGAAGTGTGCTAAAAAAACATAGGCAGACAAAAGGATACATTGTCTCATTTTCAATAGCTCCACTTCAGGAAATTGAACTAAGAAGGCTGCTCCACACTTGAGAGTCTACAATTGTGGTAAAAAGGAAAACCAAGACATGTTCATTTTTAGTATGAATATCCAGGATATAAACACTCATTTACATTTTAAATAGAAAATTAGGAACCAGGATTATGGATTCTCCTAATAATAATCAGAATAGTTCCTGATTTTAAGCAAAAAAAAACCCAGATTAACCATTTTCTCTATCCATTTATCCATCCACCTAACTAACTAACCAGTTAAGAAACCGTGACCTGCCTAGCTCTGAAAAGATCAGAAATTGTGAAAAGTGAGCTGCCACCTTTTTCTGTAGTGCATGGAGAATTTGAGGGTAAAAGGTATTTTCCCTGTAAATGGCACCCCAGTTGTTCAGGGAGTTCATTAAAAAGTAGAAACTTCCCTGGAGACAAAAGATGATCCTGGGCTCCTGGTTGGAAGCTTCACATAAATGTGTCATGTATCTTATCTGTCTCCTGCTGTTGAGGAGAGTAGATAGAGACAGCCTTCCTGGGCCATTATCTCAGAGCTGCCACCCCTCCCCCCCCAGAGAAGAGCTTTTTCACACCCTGGTTTGGCTCACTCTGACAGAGAGCGAGGGGTCCCTCCTTTGGAGAAAGCAACAACAAGCTCTCTCCAATTCTGGATTGTTTATAGAAACCACTCTTTATTTTCCAGCTTTTGTTCTCACTCGGTCTACCCTGGCATATCCTAGAAAACTAGGATCTGCCACCACGTGGCCATGTGTGTTCTCGCTAAGGGACGCACACAGGGACACTGAGAGAAGGAACAGGGAAGGCCACAAGGATTTATACTAGTCACATGATTTCAATTCCCTAACTGTTCAGACCTTTCAACCCATCTCTGTTAGAGTTTACTTCAGAGCCAAAGCAAGTGCCTTTTGCTGGGGAGGAGCCCTCTTGCACCTGTCGGCCACAGCACAATTGTCCCCCATCTAGCCTGGAAGCAACTGACTTTTCTTGGCTGGGAGCATTGAAAAGCAGCCTCTGAATGCATTTCCAATTTCTACTGTCTGCAAAAGCCACTCTGGCACATGTAGCTTTATGTCACACAGGCAGTAGGTCCTGTGACAGACCTTTCTATTAAATTCAGCTTTAAATAGCTAAAACTGAGCTCTGTAAGCTTTATAGGCACAGCCTTTTCTCATTTCACCTGGACTGCCTGCTACTGGGAGAGGAAAATGAGGGGCTGTGTTTCTTCCAGTTAGAACTGTTGGGCACTCTGCTCATTTCCTGACCAGCAACTGGACCCCTGCGGGACCCCAACTTGACACAATGAAAGTCTGTAGCCACAGAGATGGCTGAGTCTCCAGCAGTTGGACACTGCCAAGCTGAGCGAGGGTGCTGTGCTTCAAATGTCTGCAGCGCTTCCAGTGGGGTTGATACAAGGACATGCAAGTAAATGTTTCATACCCAGCTCTCCAGAAAAAAATTATATACAAATCAGTTTACTATAAGTAATGTGGTTTACTATACATAAAGCATATACAGCACAGAATGTGCAAATAATAATAGGATGTATAATGCTCTATGTTGTAAATTCCATGCAGCAATAAGCTTTTGTTGATTTTTGCCAAAATCTACATCTGTATGCAACCTATGGCTGTGATTCAACTATGATTTGACAAACGGTGCTGCATCCTGCCAACAGAAATAATCAATAAACAGTCTATAATAGGAATAGAAGAGAGTTTTATTTGAGCCAAACTGAAGACTATAGTCCAGGAGACAGCCTCTCAGATAACTCTGAGGAACTGCTCCAGAGAAGCATGGTTTTCAGCACAGTTTTATATCTTTTCAGAACAAAGAACATCAAACAAGTCAGTGAGAGATTCCTTCAAGGTTTCAAAAAAAAAAAGAAAGAGAAACAACAGATCAGCATGTACACAGCGAGTCAGCATGGCCTTGGCCCTGGAGAACGAGCCTTATCATCAAAGGAGTACCAGCGTTGGCATCAAGGGAAGCATTTAATCTTTATTTTATTTATTTATTTTCTTATACTTTATTTTTTCTTCCACTTTTATTGAGATATAATTGACATACAGCACTGTATAAGTTTAAGGAGTACAGCATAATGATCTGATTTATATTCATCATGAAGTGATTATCACAGTAAGTTTAATGAACATCAGCTCATATAGATGCAAAATGAAATAAAAATTATTTTTCTTGTGGAGAACTCTTAGGATTTACTCTCTCAACAACTTTCATATATAACATACAGCAGCATGAATTATATTTATCATGTTGTACATTACATCCCTAGTACTTATTTATCTTATACCTGGAAGTTTGGGACTTTTGACTGCCTTCATCCAATTGCCCCTTCCTCCAACCTCTGCCTCTAGGAGCCACAAATCTGATCTCTTTATATATGAGTGAGTTTGTTTTACTTTTTTCTTTTTTTAAATTTATTTTCTTTTTGGCTGCTTTGGGTCTTTGTTGCTGTGTGCAGGCTTTTTCTAGTTGTGGCGAGCAGGGGCTACGCTTCATTGCAGTTCATGGGCTTCTCACTGCGGTGGCTTCTCTTGTTGTGGAGCATTGGCTCTAGGCACGTGGGCTTCAGTAGTTGTGGCTTGCGGGCTCTAGAGCGCAGGCTCAGCAGTTATGGCACACGGGCTTAGTTGCTCCGCGGCATGTGGGATCATCCCTGACCAGAGACTGAACCCAGGTCCCCTGCATTGGCACGTGGATTCTTAACCATTGAGCACCAGGGAAGTCCCCGTTTGTTTTTCAAGTATAATTGATGTACAACATTATGTTAGTTCCTGCTACACAACATAGTGATCTGATATTTGTAACATTCCAAATTGATCACCAAGGTAAGTCTGGTTACAATATGTCACCATACAAAGATATTACATAGTTATTGATTGTATTCCCCACAATGTACATTTCATACCCGTGACTCATTTACTTTGCAACTGGAAGTTTGTACTTCT